TAATGCTGTTTTACTCTTTTGCCCAATTAATACAACTTTAATAATTGGAAAATAGTTTAAAATATGGGACCCTCTTTGTCTTACATTTCAAAACTATTTACTGTTTGTCACCAATAGATTGCCTACAGGCCTTATTCTCTAAAGTAGAATATAGAAATAACAAAGTTACCGTCTTCCAGATAATGCGTGCTTTTGTTCCACTTAAAAGCACACCTTAAAAATGTGCGAATTAGAGCAGGGAGAAGTCTTTGATAGCACAGGATAAGTGCCCCAGAAGCAGGCAGCTGTCACCCAGTCTTACAGCCTGTTGAGCCACATTGATGCTGGGAGAGGTGAGGTGACAGCAGCCCTGACATCACCTCCAAAGCAAGTTAGGAGTTGCCAGGATTCCAAGCCAGGGCTAGAAGAGCAGGCTCCATCTGGGTCTGTGCATGTGCTGCAGCTCAGAGATTGAGTTGTCTCCTTCAGGGCATCTAATGGGATTTCTGTCACTGGAATATCTACCTCTGAAGACGCAGCCTACCGTGAGACTTCCAGGTCTCAAGATAAATGTTGGTGGTTTTCAGCTTACAAAAATTAAGCATAAGATTGGCGTTGGGTGGTTTTGTGTGCGTGTGGCATTATTAGATGAGAGAGGTAGAGACCAAGGGAGTCAGTGTGGCAGCTCTGCCCACCTCGGGGCTCAGCGTCAGGCTCGGAAGGAGCACGTGTTGATCATGTATCCGTACCGTGCTAGCTGTGGTGCCGCATCACTTCTGTGTTTTCACTCTGGACTTCTGTGCCTAGCCCCCTTTCTTTCAACAGAGCACTCACCCCCACTTCTTTAGAACCCGCTGCTTTATTTCATTTCTTTGTTCAGCACCAGGAGTGGGCAGCGGGCCAAGGAGTGAAGCTTAGCCACACCGCACCCACCAGAGCCCCATGCGTGGAGGGTGGGCTGGCGGGGCCTAGCTGCGTTCCACGTCTCCACTGGCTGCTGGTGTCCCGAGCTAAATGAGAGCCAGTGATGGTTTCTTTTGTAGACTGAAGTATGCTGAAATGGTGGATGTTTGTTTTTTGGTTGATGCTTTAAAATGACATTTGAGTTCTGTTTGCCCCAAACTTAGATTGATCGTTTTCATTTTTCTGTTGCGCTTGCTTTGCCATCACCTAGATTTCTTGGCTCTTATACTAGCTCTGACTACTTGGAAAGGAGCTTCATGTGGTAAGACGGGGCACTGGTGTGAGGCTGTGACGTGAGTGTCCCTCGCTGTGGCACTGGCATTACATGCACTTGCAGGTGTTAACGTCATCTTCAGTGCTTAGTCCAAACACCCAAAATGAGATAATGGCGCAGCTTTAAAGCTGATCGTGACTAGACTCTGCGACAGTAGTCTTCTGTGAAAGTACATTCCAAGTGTCTGTGTGACTGCGTGTGCACGTAAAGCCGGTGTACAGCTTTGGCTCTGCAGAGCTCAGAGGGCAGTGCTGCAATTATGGGTCCTGTTTTAAAGATTTCTTTTGTGTGAATTTTACGTGTTCTATATTAACAATTGGCAATCTGAAAAAATAAGCATACATTCACAATTTGATTTAAATGAGCCTTAAAAATCAAGCAGGGGCTTCCCTGGTGGCGCAGTGGTTGAGAGTCCGCCTGCCGATGCAGGGGACACGGG